TATTTCAGAATCTAGAGTGCTTTGGAAATAATGTTAGGAATATTATAAGCTTCGCTTCATGTATCCTCTGAAATTTCTTAAATATTTAGTTGAACAAATAACATACAAAAAATTTACTATAGATTGTCTAACCTTTTAAAATGTCGTGGTTTCTTCCATGAAATAATCTCTCTTTTTTTATTAAAAATTTTTAAATTATTATTTTTAAAATAATTTTCTTGGGGGCTCATACAACTCCCCCGAAATAATCTTTAATAAACTTTTCATGGCCAAGTTAATTTTTTTGCTTTGAATTTGTGTTGATACTATGTGTTTTGTGAAATCAAAGGTAATTTTGTTTTAAGTAATAATGGATTTTCTTTCAATTATGTGGGCCACATATGCACGAAGTAGTGGAGTGAAGCCCATATTTTCATATTCATGCTGTTATGCAGGCCCTACCAGGCATGCACTGCAAGTGGGAGAGCAGCTTCTAGAGCAGCGGTTCTCAGCCTGTGGGTGCCAACCCCTTTAGGGGTCGAGTGACCCTTTCACAGGGGTCGCCCGATTCATAACAGTAGCAAAATTACAGTTATGAAGTAGCAACAAAAATAATGTTATGGTTCGGGGGGTCACCACCACATGAGGAACTGTATTAAAGGGTCGCAGCATTAGGAAGGTTGAGAACCACTGTTCTAGAGAAACCTGATAGGCTGAAAATGTTGGTTGGTGATATATGTCCTATGTGGGGAATTATAAGGATTGAATCTTGAACCTTGGTACCTGAAATGTTCTTAAAAGCAAACAATAGTTTAGCTTAATTAGTGAAAAATTTCTGCCTTGAGCATCACGCTCTTTTAAGAATTGTCTATATAGGAGCAAATTGACAACAGCAACTTGAAAGGTTAGATAGGAACCTTAGAAGACAGTGAGTTTATGTTAACGGAGGAGAGCAACCGGGAACAACTGTGGGAGTGAAAATGGTTGTACAACTTGAAGTATATAATCAGTGTTACTATATTGTGTGTGTAGAAAATGGTGAATTTGTGTCTCTTTTTCTGTGTGTATTGTCAACAACAAAACAAATATATATTGACGACCAAGTCAGGATGTAGTATAGCACTGATGAAACATATAACTTTCTTCTAATTTTTTAATGCTTCCCCCCACCGCCACCCCCACTATCATGACCCCAATTCTACCTTACAAATCTGGCTAGACCACAGCATGTACACAAATACAGATCAGAGCTGGTAACACAGGGAATCCAGGACAGATAAGCCCCTCAGGGCCCATAGTGAGAGTAGTGATACCAAGAGGGGAAGGGAAAGGTGGGGGTAGAAAGGGGAACCGATCACAATGATCTGCATATAACCCCCTCCCAGGGGGATGGACAACAGAAAAGTGAGTGAAGGGAGACATCGGTCAGTGTAAGACATGAAAAAAAAATTATAAATTATCAAGGGTTCATGAGGAAGGGAGAATGGGGGAGAGGGAGGGGAAATAATGCGGAGTTGATACCAAGGGCTTAGGTAGAAAGAAAATGTTTTGAAAATGATGATGGCAACATCCGTACAAATGTGCTTGACACAATGGATGGATGTATAGATTGTGATCAGAGATGTATGAGCTGCCAATAAAAATGATTTTTTTAAAAAGAAGTTACTTATTTATAGATTTCACACTTTAGATTTGTTAATTCTTAGAAAATAAAAGTTGAACCTTCTCTTTAAAAAATACATATATCTGTTCTAAAGTCGTGTTTTCTGTTGTTGTTTATTATAATGCTTTGTTACTTGTCGACTTTGCTTACCTGAATTTTTCTGTCCTGCATATTACACTTTATGTACTTAGTTAGACTGTCTTTCTGATGATGATTGTTTCTCTCTACATAAGTATTTGATGCTTTACACAGTGACAGAGTAAACTAGCAAGCCAATCTATGGAAAGTTTTAAGTGATCTAAAATAGTTGACAAAATTATTCTAAAAATCTTATCTTTAGCTCAAGAAAAAGAATCAACTCAGAACATTTATGATATAAGTTTTATAATCTGTGGGGTATGAAAAATAGCATCAGAGTTTTGAAAATTAATTCGTAATTTGAAAGCTTTGTACTGTATTTAAAGAAAACTAAGAAAGGTGACTTAACAAAATATGGAAATTCTCTAACGCTGCCATTAACATTGCGTTCAAATCAACTTTTGCTGAATGTAATTTTATTTATATATTTATTTATTTTGGGTGTAATTTGAATACAACAGAGAACTGCCAAAACTTCAAACCAGGTTCAGAAGAGGATGTGTAATGAGGAATCTCATTGCTGTAGTTAAATGGATCTTGGCTGAAAAGAGAGATTACCAGGATATTTACCTGTGTTTGATCGATTATGCAAATGCATCAACTTATGGATCATAACTAATTACAGATACTATGCAAATTAATGGGAATTTCTGAAAACTTAATTGTGCACATATGAAATATAGACAGATGTATCTTATCTATGAATACAGATGTACAGATGCAGTTGCTTGACAAGAACAGCACAATACTGTGAGGTTTAGAACTAGCAGAGAGTTCGATCAGGGTTGTAGCTTTTAACTCTGTTTATTTAATCTGCACGCTGAGCGAATATTCAGAAGCTGGACTCTGTGACGATGAATGTGGCATCAGGGTTTTAGGGAGACACATTAATCACCTGAAACATGCATACATCACAGCTGTGCTTCCTGAAAGCACAAAGTACCCGAAGCACTGACTTCATTATGCATTACCCCTCTGGGTTAGTCTGGGTAAACTAGGGAAACAAACCCACAGAAACTCTTACGTATATAAGAGAGACTCTTATATAAAGACTAAGTGTACATTAAGAAAGCTTCCCCACCCAGTGCTGTCCCAGCCCGTAAGTCCAACATTAGCCCATACGTCCGACACCGATCTACAAAGTTCTCCTCAGTCTCACAAAATACATGCAATGATGCCTACTGCAGGAGGAAAGCCGAATCAGTGTGCATGTAAGCATCTCAGCGCTGGCAGGGGTCTCCACATGGCTGCTCCAGCACCCAGGGCTGCATCGGGGTAGGTCCATGTGGCTTTTTCTCAGAGATGTCTTGCAGGAAGTGAGCCTTGCCAGCTGAAGCAGGGAACTGGCTAAGGCAGCTGCACCCTGGTCCGACCATCACAAAGCAAGAGACCCGAGAACTAGAAAAGCGAGGCTCACAAAGCCATTTACCTCTCCGCCCCTCAATTAATCCCATATGTGTTTATTGGCCAGGTTGCCACAAGAAACCTTAACTATTGCAACCTCCATATTAAAAAAAACAAAAATTCTTTCAACTGGTCCAAGAAGCAACATCATGAGAAACAGAAAAAATTGACATCATCACAGATAACATTTTAATTTGATCCACAGTCAACATCCATGAAAACAGCAGCCTAGAAATTACGCAACAGACTGCTTTGAGCAAATCTGCTGCAAATGACTTATTTAGAGTGTTAAAACGGAAATATATCTCTGAGGATTTAAGGGTGCATGACCCAAGTCTTGATTGCCTCAGATGTATGCAAATGATGGACAGTTAATAAGGAAGATCAAAGAATTGATGCTTTTGGATTATTGAATATCGGACAGCCAGAACAAGTAAATTTGTGTTGGAAGAAGTCCATCCAGAGTGCTCTTAGAAGCAAGGATGACATAATAGTAATTACCAATCCTTGGGAAGGACATCATACTTGGCAAAGAAGAAAGTCAGCAAAAAAGTAAAAAGCTTTCAGCAAGATGGATTGACATAATGGCTTAAACATACAACAGTTGTGAAGGGGGAGCAGAATTGGACTATGCTTCATTTTGCTGTACACAGGATCACTGTGCATTAAAACCAACTCGATGACGTCGAACAACAGTAATAGCAAAGTGTTCGCTTTTCTTTCTCTCGTTTCAGACCTTTGGCACTATAGCAACTGCATTATTTCCCGTTCCTGCACAGAGCCTTTCAAACAATAGAATCAAAATCTTAATCCCTGCCCCCACCCCATCAAAACTTACTGTTTTCCCCAGAGCATAAAACCCTAGACACTTCTTTTAAGCTGGCATAGTAAATCAAAAGTTGAATGACCCTTTAAATTACAGTGTACATGAGTTCAGCCATTCCCCAGTTGTTCCCTGCCTCCTTTTTTATGAATATATATATTTTGTTGTAAGTCTGATAACTCCCCACTATTCAGGAGTAGGATCTGAGGAACTGTCCTCCTGGCTTCTTGCTTAGTGCTTTGAACTAAAGCTACTCTTTTTAAAAAGGCAACATAATTGTGCCACCAACCTCTAAAATAATTAAATGTTTTTTCAATTGGAAAATTTTAAACTGGCAAGATATTTGCTGATCTGAAGGAATGGCTCATTTTTTAACGTATGATGATGGTTTTGTTGTTAAGCTTATTGAAGTCATTACCTTTCAGACTTAATAAAGCATTTATAGATGCCAAATAGGATCCAGAATTTGTTTTAGAATACTATGAAAGGCAAGGTGATTATTTACAAACTCACTGCCATGAAGTCCATTCCTTCTGCCATCAGAGCTGTTGTTACTCATGATGCCCCTGTGGGCTAGAGTGGAACTGCCTCTGTGAGTTCCCAAGACTGTAACTCTACGTGAAAGTAGACAGCCTCATTTTTCTCCCACACAGTGGCTGATGGTTTCACACTACTGATCTTGTGGTTAGTCACCCAACACATAGCCACTAGCCTTTAGGACTTCGTAGAGTGTGTATAATATAAATGAAATAAGATTGGTCATACATTTATAATTATTACAACTTAACAATGGTTTCTGGGAAATCATTATGTTATTCTATTTTCTTTGTATATGGTTAATTTTTAAAGTACTTGATAAGTGTTAGAGCTTAGAGCTTATACTTTTGATTATAGAACCTGGATCTTTTTATTATAGAAGCTGAATGTTTAACTTAATAAAGCTTTTGCATTCTATACTGATTATGAGAAATTTTTTCTCCTTTCTGTTAATAGACTGAAGACATTAAAGAGATAGCAAAAAAGACACAAGCCTTGGCAAAGGTGAATTCAAAGAGACCAAGAATTGTGATATTCACCCAAGGAAAAGAAGACACAATAATGGCTACAGGTACATGTGAGAGCTATGTGAGAGTCCCAGTATTTATCATTTATAACAAAATTCTAAATTCTTTTATAATGTCTACTAAACAAAATATTTTTTGTATTTTAGTAAATACACTTCTATCTCAGCAGAAATAATTTCTTATTTTTAGGTTCATTTATTAAAATTGAATTGAGTGAAAGAATCCTGATTATTTTTATTTGCTTTCATATTTTAGATTTTCAGTCTAAAAACATCCTTTCTGGAAAAAATGCATTTTACTTATTAAATAACTGTGTAATGAGGTAAATTTATCCAGTTATGAACAAGTAAATTTATTTCTGGAACAAATAAAATCCAGAAATAAACTGCATCCTCATTTTTTTTTTTTTTTTTGGTGAAGAAGAAAATCTACTCGCACTTTTTCTCATTGAGGTATTTCTCATCAAATACAATAGAAATTTCATCTAATAAACATTTATTTAAATGATAAATATTATCAATAATACTACCTGCTACTTAAACTAAAATATGTCTTCTAGTTTTGTCTGCACTGCTCAGATTAAATTCAGTTATGTAATTATTAATTATTGCAAACAATAATTAATTAAGTTTCTCTAGTTGTCTGTTGAACATTGAAATATAACGATATAACTAGCAAGTCTAATTTTTAAATGTAAGGTAAGGTGTAATTATAATTATTAGTTTATATTATCTAGGATATATTATCCCAGAAACTATAATCAGCTAAGAGTAAAGAAAGGTGGGATAGTGAATATAACATAAAATTTTATTGAATTAAATATATAAACCTGAAAAAGAGTGGGGTTTTTTAAAAGATTTTTGTTGTTGTTGTTGTTATTGTTGTTAAAAGGTCAATATATAGTCACTTAGCGATCTCCTCAGAGCTCCGGGCGTAAGCCACCTAGTAGTCGGCCATCTTCCTCCTGAAGAAGATTTTTAAAAGAAATTATTGCCACAATTGTAGTAGAAGAGACCCTAGAAATAGTTTAATCCAAATTTTTAGAATAGTTAAATACAAATTCAGAAATTTTCTTCAAGAAATATTTGTTTCAGAGATTCTTTTCTTAATTTAATTATCAGATTGTCCACTGCTGTAGAAATAAAATTGATGTTTGTATATTGATCTTATGTCCTGCAAACTTGCTTGACTTGTGCATATTTAGGACTTGAACTTACCTTTGGGGGAACACAAATCAACCTTTAGCAGTGATTAATAAATGATTTTATTTAAATATATACATATTTGTTTCAAAATAACTCAATGTGTGGTATATGATGAAGTAAGGATATAGGTGAAATGACATATATGTGTTAAGTTTTAAAGGTGAATGACTGATATGTGTGGGGTTATTATTCCATTATCCATTTGTGTATATGTTGGAAATTTTCCAGAATTGAAAGTTTTAACAAAAGATAAGTCAAAGATAATCTTTAAGGCAAACTTAAGATATAGTGACTTTTCCAAAATACATTGATATCCATGCTAAGCTTTGAAATCTACTATGGATTTAAAGAAAGAGATCAGTTTAGGGAAAGAAGATCATATGAGAAAAGGCACTAGATTACTATATAGTGTTTTATTGTTAAGGCAGGAAAACCCATGTTGTTTATTTGTATAAAGCAGAAAAAATATAAACAATGAGAGAACATCCCAGAGTTAATTATCCAAACTATCTGAATTGCTGTCTTACTATCTATTATGTGGCCTAGTACTATCTTAACAATGGATACTGGAAAAGTAAAGAACTGAGAGACCTTTTTTTCCCCAGACTTTTGATCTTACAGGAACTGTAGGACTGCCTTCAGATTCAGAAAGCTATTTAGTTGCTTTTTATAGAGACATTTATTTTAAGGCTCTTTGTATTCCAGACATACATATTGTACAAGTCATGTTTATTGTGAATGTGCATCATTTGAAACTTTAAAAATTAGCTCCCCCGTTGTGTGACTGACTTTCTTAGTCATGTTATTCTTTGAAACAGTGTTATTAAACCGATTAAACCATTCTACGGAATATTACAAGCAGAACTTATCTGAAGAAAGATATAGGCTAGTCTTTACTGTTTGTACTATATGAAAATGAACTTAAATTAGAAGATGTACTATATTTGCAATGCATAATAAATACAAGATGGTTAGAGAATCTGTTCAGTAGTGTCAGTTACAAAAGCAAACATGATAAATGTTAATGCAATTTTCAGCCCTGGGATAAGCTATTCAGTGCACAAGTGTAGCTGAATCTCTTTGCTATGTTGTTATTCATGGCAGCCAAATAAATGTCAATAATAAAAGAGAATGAAAGATTTTCATTTCCCAGAGGCAGTCCTCTAATACGGCTTGATCTTTCATTTCATTTGTAATTCGTTCTCATGTCAGGATGCAATCATTTGCCAGGCTCTGGGTGTCATGTTAAGTCATTTAATAATGATTAAGAACATAAAAATGCTTGGCCTGTGGGGCAATTCATAGAAGAGATACCAATTTGTTATTGTTTTCTCTTTTTCTCTTGAATATGGATCAGCTTTTTTCCACCTTCTAGCATTAAAATACTAATGTAAGATGGGGATGGAAAGGGTCCTTTAATTTGACATAAGTGACATTCCAAAATGACACAAAGCTGTGCTGGCACACTTAGTGAAACACTAATTGGGAATCATTGTGCCTTAAACCGCTTACTGTAGAGTCATTTTTAAATGATCACTACTCCGTTTTCCACATTTATCAATAATGTAACAAAATCTGTTTCCATGGAGTTTTATTCTAGAGTCTGTGTCTCCTTTTTTTAAGATATGGCATCTGTAAACCAGGACCCTGGTGGCTTATCGGATTACATGCCAGCTACTCCGTGGGAGGAAAATGAGGCTGTCTGCCCCTGTGAGGACTTACAGTCTCAGACACCTACAGGGCAGTTCTACTCTGCCCTTTACGGTTGCTGTGAGTCGGAATCGACCCAGCGGCATTGAGTTTGGTTTGGTTTGGTTATCTTTAAACAGGGAGCGACTGGATAGGGCAAAGGGGTAAGTGCTCAGCTGTTACTCAAAAGGTTGGAAGTCCGAATCTACCTAGATGAGAGACACCGATGAAGAAAGGTATGGCAATCTAATTCTGAAAAATCAGCCATTGAAAACCTATGGTTTTTCAGATTGTTGAACAGATTTTCTATCCATCTTGTATTCTCATGCATGGAAAATAGAGTGCATCCTCTAATTTTAAAGTTCATTTTCATATGGTACAAACAGCAATGACTAGCCTATATTTTTCTTCAAATAAGTTCTGCTTGCATCATTCTTTAAGGGCTTGCTGGCTAATTAAGTTACAGCATTTGTAGTTCAGGAGGATGAGGGGAGCTAAACACTGAAAAGTAATGAAAGCCAGGGACTGAGTTAGAGAACAGAAAAGATTGGTATCTTTGCTCCTCTGAACACATGCTTAATGAACCTGTTTAGCAGCCCAGCTCTACACTGACACACGTGTGGTCTCCATGAGTTCAGAATTGACTTCACATAAGCGGATTTGCTTCCTTGTGTGTTTGTTTTTTTAATCTAGAAATCACTTTCTCTTCATGTGTAAGGAATCTTTTAATTTAAATTGACTGTAAATCTGAAGTCTTTTTCCATTCAGCTTGTGGGTCCCTGTCCAGTTCAGAGGTTCTGTACATTCTATTGTTTTTTCAGCGTGTGAACCAGTTGAGTTCCAGACGTTTTGAGGTACAAAGATGGGCACTGACGAGTAATGAAAGCAAGGGGCTGGGCTAAAGAGCAGAAAGTAGCATAGGAATCATGTCAGTGAAGTCTTTTCCAGACCTGAGTCCCGATCTTATCGACTTACTAGACAGAAGCTACTAATGACATTTTTTAAAAATGGTTTTATTGCAACATATCCACATATCATACAATTCAATAGTTCAGTCATATCAAGAAGATTTGTACAATAATGACCACAATCAATTTTAAAACATTTTTTTCTTTCTTGTACTCCTTGTTATTAGCTTCCCATTTTCCCACAACCTCCCTGCTATACCCTCAAAAAACCATTAATCCAGTTACTGTTTCTATAAATTCACCCATCCTGAATTTCATATACCAAAATACATACAAAAACAAAGAAACCAAAAAAATGAACAATAACAAAATAAAAAAGAGAAAAACGTCAATAAAAAAAAAGCAGAAAATATTAAAAGACTCACTCAAACAACTTTAAAATGGATCAAGACCAGACTTCAACCTGGGGTGCCACGCCTCAAGGGCCTCATGCTGGCATGAAGCAGTGAACTAAGAAAGGTCTGCAGGGGGCCCCCAGTCCCACTACATGGACCCCTTCCCCAGAAGAATGTACTACAGAGGACAGCTCTGAAGATACAGAGGGGCAGGGGGAGTGTCGGATCTGCCCAGACCACAGGGGAGTAACAGAGAGGGAGAGAAAAAGTGATAGGGGGAGGGGAAGAAGAGGAGGGGGAGGGAGAAAGAGAACTGCAACCAGGCCCACCAAGCCTTGAGGAGGACAGTCCTGCTCGGAGCAACCAATGCACAGAGAGGGGCTGGCCCCACCACGAGACACAACACCCCCTCACTGACTCACAGGGCTACAGGGGACAGCACTAGAGAGACAGAGTGGCAATTGTGCCCTGTCTGACCCCTCCCCGCCCACCAGAGCAGAACATGAAGGGAACGCAGGACAGCAAGGGGAGCAAAACAATGAATCCTGAAAATAGACCTCGGAATCAGTGGGCAGTCCGTGGGACTTCACCAGATCAGATTGGAAACCATTCCTGTAAATGGAAAACAATCCTATTTATAGGATTCGGCTTGTTTGGTTTTTTTCTTTTCCCTTTTTTTCTTTTTCTCATGTCTATCCTGAGGAGAAAACAATGGAGCCAACAGCTCTGGGGGAACATAGGAGAGGATGAGGTAGGAAAAAGGGAGGGTAGAGCCAACAAACACAGTAAGATAGTTAAGGTTTATTGTGCCAACCTGGCCAATAAACACATGTGGGATTAATTGAGG